CGGGGATTAGTCACTAGTGGCATTCCACAAGGATCAGTTTTAGGCTCTCTCTTGTTCATAATTTACATTAATGACTTTGATGAAGGGATTACAAGTGACATGAGCAAATTTGCTGATACGAAGATAGGCCGTATGATTCATTCTGAGGATAGCAATGAACTCCAGGAGGATTTGGACAAATTAATATCTTGGTCTGAAAAATGGCAGATTAAGTTCAATGTGGACAAGTGTAAGGTACTAGTCCTTGGTAATGAAAATAACCTCGAAGCTAAAAACTAGATGAAGTAGAGCTTAATCATATAGAATGTGAAAAAGATGCGAATCATGGTAAGCAGAAATCTAAAGCCAAGACAGCGGTGCCTGTGTGTCCACAACAAGACTAACAGATTACTTGGATTTATCTCAAGAAGTATAAGTAGCAGAAGTCCAAAAGTTATTTTACAGCTCTATACATCACTAGTGAGGCCTCATTTAGATTATGCCACTCAGATTTGGTCTCCTTACTACAGGATGGATACAGACTCATTAGGGAAAACACAGAGAAGAATGACTAAAATGATTTACTGTGTAAGGAATCTCCTGTATGAAGATAGACTTAAAGCCTTAAATCTCCACTCTCTGGAGAGACGTAGAATGAGGGGGAGATGTCATTGAAGTGTGTAAGTGGATGACGAGCATAAACAAACAAGATATTAATAAAGTACTGAGGGTGTCCAACCAGGTAAGAACCAGAAATAATGGATTTAAGTTGGATAAATTTCAATTTAGAAAGGACATAGGTAAGCAGTGGTTTTCTAACAGAGTTGTGGATGCGTGGAACAGTCTTCCCAGTAGGGTGATTGAGGCTAGGACTTTGGGCAGCTTCAGAGAGAGATTGGACAAATATACGAGTGGGAGGGGCTGGGTTTGATTTGTGTCATTGGGTACGGGAGTAAATTCTTGGGTAGCTTTGGGTAGAGGTCATTTTGATAAGGACCTGCCTTGTATGGGCCAGTAGGCCTTCTGCAGCATTCCTCCATTCTTATGTTCTTATGAATGTAGTTTAAGGGTCTTCAGTCTTTCTTCATACAAAAGATTTCTAATGCTATGTATTAATTTTGTCATTCTACGCTGAATGTTTTCTAACGAATTTATGTCCATTTTGTAATATGGAGACCAGAACCGAGCTGCGTAATCTAGGTGAGGCCTTACTAACGATGTATAAAGCTGTAATACACCTACCATCCAACTTACAACCTGCTTGATATACGACCATGTTTTGTATGCCAAATTTCTGGAAAATAAACAACTGTTTGTGTTGTACAGTGTTTTTATCCTAAACCTTACAGTATAAAACACAGTACTAACAGCATAAAAAGTAAAGTAAAAAATGAAATACCAAAATAAAACAAAATAAAATCATTACAAAAATGTGATGTTGATATTCAGTAGTAAGGTTCGACCTACATCCATTTTGACTTATGACCGGTTGGTCAGAACCAGGCTTGGTCATAAGTTGGATGGTACCTGTATAACCTCGACTTCTGATGCTTGCACTTCTTGATATAAATCCTAGTAGTCTGTTTGCCTTATTACATACACTTAGGCATTGCTGTCTTGGTTTAAGATTGCTGCTTACCATAACCCCCAAGTCCTTTTTGCAATCTGTATGGCTAAGGTCTACATTATTTAACTTTTTAAATTATTATTATAATCAAGGGGGAAGCGCTAAACCCGGTTAACTTTTTAAAGTGCTAGGGTTATGGACACTCCTGAGATTCAGAACCTTGCACTTATCTACATTGAGCTGTATCTGCCACTTTTCTGACCAGGAATTGAGTTTGTCTAAATCCTCCTAAAGTTCCGTGACATCTGCATTGAATCAATTATCTTACCTATCTTCGTGTCATCAGCGAATTTGCTCACATCACTAGTAATTCCCTCAAGGTCATTGATATACTATATTATGAACAAGGGGCCCCAAGACTGATCCCTGAGGAACGCCACTTGTTACAGATCCCCACTCTGATTTAACCCCATTTATGCACACACACACTGCTTCCTATTGGTGAGCCATGACTATCCATGACAGGAATTTTCCCCCGATGCCATGAGCTGCCATTTTCTTGAACAGTATCTGGTGCAGTACTCTATCCAAAGCCTTACTAATATCTAAATAAATATCAAACTCTTTATCATTATCAACAGCCTCGAAATTATTATTATAATCAAAAAGAAGCGCTAAGCCACAAGGGCTATACAGCAACAGCCTCAAAAGCTTTACTGAAGGTTAATAAATTAGACAGGAACGACCCTTTGTGAATCCATGCCTAGTATCATTAATCAAATTATGGGTCCTAAATGAGGCAGCAGAGGTGCTCTACTCGCCTAGATGTACTCATCTAATTGTGGTTGTAGGGGTCGATTCACAGCTCCTAGCCCTGCCTCTTCAACTGGCCGCTACTCAGTTTTATAATGTCAGCTATAATTGACAAGTAATTTGCCTACAATTGAGGTCAGGCTTATTGGACGGTAATTTGATGGTAATGACTTGTCCCCTGCTTTAAAAATAGGAATTACATTAGCCATCTTTCACATATCAGACACTACACCTGTTTGAAGAGATAAATTAAAATATTAGTTAATAGTTCAAAGTTCCATTTTGCATTCCTTAAGAACCCTTGATTATTATTATAATCAAGGGGGAAGCGCTAAACCCAAGGATTATACAGCTTGAAAAAAGGGTTCTTAAGAACCCTTTGTGAACCATTAACTAATATTTTTATCTCTTCAAACAGGTGTAGTCTGATATGTAGAAGATGGCTAATGTAATTCCTATTTTTAAAGCACAGGAAAAGTCGCACTTTGCATTAGATTCTTAATCTTTTAATCCCACACCTTTTGCCAACACCCGAGCATTCACTTCTCTTGCAACCCTGTCTGTAAATATATTGAACCCTGGTGACATCACACATCCCTATCCAAGGCATACTTTTACTGGGAAATCATCTCTCTCTCCTACATACTCTAACCTGAGGCTCACTATCCTCATAAAAACTCTTCACTGCTTTCAGTAACCTACTTCCTATTCCAGACATTTCCAACATCTGCCACACTGCCCCCATCTCATCTACCCTATCATACACCTTTTCCAAATCCATAAATTCAATAAACATCTTTTACCTTATCTTGTTATAATCAGAAAAGCACTAAACTCACCAGGGTCATACAGCACTTTTACCCTTATCTAAATACTGTTCACCTATATATTTTACTCTAAACACTTTGTCTACACATCGCCTACCCTTCCTCAGGCCTTGTTCATCTGAGATCCTGCACTCCGATTTACTCTTAATTCTTTCAACAAGTCTACTGTACAATTTACCAGGTATACTCGACAGCCTTATTTCCCTATAGTTTTTGTGCTCTTTTGTCCCCTTTGCCTTCATACAAAGGGACTATGCATGCCTTCTACCAATCCTTAGGTACTTCACCTTCCATACATTTATTAAATAAAAGCACCAACCACACCAAAACTATATCCCTACCTGCTTTTAGAATTTGTCTATCCAACGAGTCACAGCTGCCTCACTCCCTTTCATTCTACCCACTGCCTTTTGCACCTCCCCACCACTCTCAACTCTTCACTCCTACAAGATGTTTTGCCTCCTTCCCCAATGCACAAAATCACAGCTTCCCTATCTTCATCAACATTCAACAGTTCCTCAAAATATTTCCTCCACCTTCCTGATACCTCTAACTCTCCATCTAATAACACTCCCCTCCTATTTTCAACTGTCAAGTCTATTCGTTCCCTAGGCTTTCTCGGCTCGTGTAATTTGTTATGAATCAGTTTAGACCAAGGGTTGCGAAAGTGGCTAGAGATTATAGCAAAATAATCTGAGAATAGAATACCTCTATATGAAACTGGAAGGTCACGTACTGCTGACTGTGCAGCAGTGTGCCTGCTCATTGCCCTGAGCATCAACATGACCAGGTACCCAGCAGAAAACGATTTCTTTGTTTTTGCTAGAAATGCAGCACGACCATAGTTGTATATGTACAAAGAACCTCTACATTTGTGGTAGCGACTATAAGTCGCTACCACAAATGTAGAGGTAGGCCTGGACTCGATACAGATAATTGCTACGAGAATTGCATACAGTTTAGCTGTGCTGACGCTAGCAAGGTTGTGCATAAAGAGCAATGGAATGAAGTCAAAATTCTGCATAGCTTGCAACACATCTTGGGAGTTGGAACCAACATAGAATGAGGTAGGGTGACTAAGGACCATAGCAGTGTGTGGTTTCAATCCACAAACCTCTGGATTATGAGCCTAGCATGCTTCCACTGACCCAATCATTTAAAAATTAGGGTTTGACAAGATAACCAAGGCCCCAATAAAGCACTAAACCCATAGGAGTCTTACACCATCTAGCAGAATGAAGAGATTTCAGGCTCAATTCAAGGAATTGGAGCACAGGTCAAATAAGTTAGATCACCAGTATCAAGGAACCTCCCTTGAGGGTTACAGTTTGTCACAACTTGTTAGGTGAAAATGGCACTTAACTCTGAAAATACTGGCAGGCTAGTAAATCCTGCGATTACTTCTGGAAAAAACAGCTGCATACACAATACTACCGAGGGATTTAGAACCATTACTATACACGGCTAACGCACAAAAATGAGCATAGGGATGTAGTGGGCAAAAAGCGCTTTCGGGCACACCTTTGCTACATTCATACATTTTAGCTGAACTGAAATCCTGAAGGAGAAATATTTTGGAGACTAGGTTTTGTTTCACAGCTGTCTAATCCCAATAGCCGATTGTAAAACTGCAGTGCAAGTATGTATAGACATCTCGAAAGTCTGCATAAAATATACACATGGAAAACAATACCAAATTTTAAAGAAAATTCTATGATCGAAGGAAAAAGCAGTACAGAATTACTGAAATAATGTTAAGGAGTCTTATAGTTACACGACTCAAACTAATGACAAGGTAATAAATCAAACAAATCATTCTTCATAGCTTTAATTCTCAAGCTAAGTTATCAAAAAAAGTATCTTCCAGTTTTATATAATCTGCTTTGAATGAGGTCTTCGACGAGCTGGCTAAGAAAGTTCTTGGAAGTTAACTGAAATTAAAGGATAAAATTAATAGTTTAAAAAAAAAAAAAAAAAAAAAGTAAATACAGTACATAAATCAGTTTGGAACAAATCGACAAAAATATTCCGACCGCCCGTTCACGATATCATCATTTGAAATCTGAAGGACTAATGTTAGGTACAGTATTACTAGTAGTTTAATTCAACAAACTCTTACCTAGGCCATTAGCACGCAGCAACCACCAACAGCTTTTATTTTTTCTTCAGCTTTGCGGGAGAAGAATTTAGCCTTTACAATAACTGGCTGTTTAGGGAGGGTACCTTTACCCAAGACCTTGTAGTAACCCTGAAATATAAAAATAATAACAGTAATTTCTCAACAATATTACTATAGAAGATAATGTATATTGCTAATCAGAACTGAACATCGACAAATTAATTCCGTTCGCCCGTTCGCACTATCATCATGAAGCAGCTAAGGGTGTGTTGACTGAAGGGGCTAATGCCTGTTGCACAAATCATACCTGAGGGTATAATCATTCAGGTTGTTGGTGCTAGCAACATGCAATCAAACAAAACAGTCCATTATTAGCTATCAGGAATAAGATATCACTATGGACACAACCTTACAATAAGCCTTCAGCTGCACAAAATCTGGGGGTAAGACAAATTATTCATCAACAGTCAAATGTGTATGATAAAAATACCTTTGAAAGGAAGTGGAACTCTGCCTCAGAGGCATAAGGAATGAGCCTGGGACAATGTTCAAATGCTAGTTAGTACCAACCACTTTTATAATGGAAAAATGGCAATAACCCAATCTTTGTCCATAAAGGCATTTTCAATGTATTAAGAACATAAGAAAAAAGGAACACTGCAACAGGCCTACTGACCCATGCAAAGTAGGTCCATGCCACCCCCTGGCCTAGAACAATGACCACCTAGTCAGGTCACTTCCACTTATGGAAGGAGCACGCACCAGACCTGGTAGCCCAAGCTAGCCAGGTCCAACTCACGCCCACTCGTATTTATCCAACCTATTTTTAAAACAACACAAGGTCTTAGCTTCTATGACAGTACTCGGGAGTTTGTTCTACTCATCCACAACTCTATTACCAAACCAGTGCTTTCCTATGTCCTTCCTGAATCTGAACTTTTCCATCTTGAAACCATTGCTGAGAGTGCTGTCTTGGCTGGATATTTCCAGCATGCTATTTACATCCCCTTTATTTATTCATTCTTGTTTTCCATTTATACACCTCAATCATATCCCCCCAAATTCTATTCCTTTCTAGAGAGTGCAGATTCAGGGCCCTCACTCTATCCTCATAGGGAAGATTTCTGAAACATGGGATGAGCTTTGTCATCCTCCTCTGTAAGTTTTCCAGTGCATTTATATCCATTCTGTAATACGGTGACCAGAACTGTGCAGCATAATCTAAATGAGGCCTAACCAAAGATAGAGTTGAAGAACAACCTGAGGACTTCTATTATTTATACTTCTTGATATGAAGCCAAGGATTCTGTTAGCTTTATTGCAAACACTTATGCACTGTTGTCTTGGTTTCAGATTACTGCTAACCAGAACTCCAAATCCTTTTTGCAATCAGAAGTATTAAGATCTACACTATTCAGTTTATAAGCGGCATAGTTATTGTCCTGTCCAACATTTTGAACTTTGCGTTTGTCTATATTAAACTACATCTGCCATGTCTCCGACCACTGCATCAGTCTACTCAAATCATCCTGGAGTGCACTAATGTCCTCAATAGAATGAATTGGACGGCCTATTTTGGCAACATCAGCAAATTTGCTTATGTCGCTATTTATTCTCTCATCTATATCTTTTATGTAAATTGTGAACAAGGGGCCCAACACTGACCCCTGTGGAACACCACTCGTGACGTGCCCCCACTCTGATTTCTCCCCATTTATGCAAACTCTTTGCTGCCTATTTGTCAACCACGCCTCTACCCAGGAAAAAATTTCTCCTCTTATTCCGTGTGCCTTAAGTTTCCTCAAAAGTATTGAGTCAACAGAGGCATGAATGAAAGAGGGAAAGGCTGATGTGGAATGACTCTTTCTAAAATTAAACTCAAAATGAGAGCCAGGTTTGAGTTTCTTATCCCCTTCACTGTCACAAGCCATGAAATCAAAAGGGCTAACAGTGAATGATTTTTAAAAAATAAGAGAATCTTTTTCTAAAGGCAACATCATAAAAAATACGAAATTAGATGAAAAACTCACATGATTGCTCAAGCACAAAGTTAGAGGTCTGGGCACCACTTATGCAGTAGCAATTTCATGGTCTTTTTTTTATCAACTCATCAGTCATCTCCCACCGTGGCCGGGCGACAGAAAAAAAAAAAAAACATCATCATTCTCACACAATCACTGTCTGCAGAGGCATTCAGATACAACATTTTAGATGTCAACACAAACAGCCAATATCCCAAACCCCTCCAAGGTGCAGGCATTGTGCTTCCCACCTCTAGGATTCAAATCCAGTTAACCGATTTCCCTGAATCTCTTCACAAAACATTACTCTGCTCACACTCCAACAGCTTGTTAGGTCCCAAAAACCATTCATTCCAAACACATGCTGCTGCACATCCAAGCCCCTTGCATACAAAACCTCTACTAGCCCCTCCCTCCATCCTTTCCAGGGACAATCTCTATTCCTCCTCCCCTCCCCCCTCCATTACAGATTCACACACCCTCAAAGTCATTGTATTTTGCTCCATCCTCTCTAGATGACCAAACCACCCCAACAACCCTTCTTCAGCCCTGAGTAATACTGCAACTCCACACCTCCTAATTTCTACACTATGAATTCTCTGCATGATATTTACACCACACACTGCCCTTATGCACATCTCCACTGCCTATAGCCTCCTCCTTGCTGCAGCATTTACAAAAATTCTTGACTATTTTGCTAGTATGCCTTTCCATTCTATCAACTGAGCACAAGGAAATCAGAATTACCCTATAAACTAAACAAGTCATAAATTTGGCCAATTTCACACAAAGTTAAAAAACTTCCAGTTTAAAGTAAAATAAACACTGCAGCCACACCAGGTTATTCACTAATCATGTTCTCAAGCCTCTCCTATATTACACTTTCCTTCCATTTTAATTTCACAGCAAACAATCAATTATTTATATTTCTCGGATAAAACAAAAATAGGAATGACTGGTCATGGTTTATGGTGCCCAATAATTTTACCAGACCTAGTACAAATGTATAACAGACTGGGAAAGGGAGGGGTATAGGGAGGACTTGCCCATCCACAGGAAAATTGTCAAAAATTGAACATTTCCACTACAAGTCTGATTTCAAGGTATGTACTGTATTTTAAGTCCTGAAACCAACCAAAATCATCTCTTTCAGTAGGCTTCCATTCTATCATGTGATGCCAAGAAAGAGCCAATAAAACAAAGACCTTAAAGTAATCATTTTAAACCAAAAAGTCAAGAGGTTTGCTTTTCCCATCGTGCACTAAGAGGGGAACAATTTTTTCATACTGTGGACACATCCATTCTCTCATGTCTAGGCCAAATTTACAACTCACAGCTTCAGGGATCCAACCTTAAAATGTACAGCTACATAATGCCCTAGTGTCAATAACTTAGATCTACATACAAGACAGTGGAAGAACTGACAACCACCCATAACACTACCATCAGCAACTACATCAGAGCAGAACGAAAAGGGATTCCTTCTCACACAATCTAAAAGCTGAACTTCACAAAAGGAATTTATAATCTAACAAGGCCAAAAGGAGAGGGATGGGTAGGGGTTCTTTACACATGATCCAAGGAAGGGACGAAGAGATGCAATTCCACAGATTAAGTCTCTTAACTGCAGAACAGGGGACCCCCTTAAAGGGGACCATGACCCTGCTAATGCATTAACAATGGACTGTATGCTACTAGTGCCACCTGATCAAGCCACCTACCAGGAATCTTGGTCTAAAACCAGGCTGCTAATTAGCATTTCCAGAATTTGTTCTGTGCCATATCCATCATATACATTTAATGTTAAAAAATAAAAACTTATTACCTCAAACAAATTTGATGGATTGTGCCATGTTTAGTTATGAAAAAAGTGGGGTATTTATTGCATCGTCCAAATTCAAGAGAAATTACTTTGATTTAAAAAGTATTACTGTACAGCCTATTGCAGGTAATCAACCTGTTTGGCTAAGAACTTGCAGGCTATGAACATGCTTCTTTTCTTATCAGCTTGTAACTATTATTATTTTGAGTTTGGGAAAGTTCAGCAATACAAATTATGCTAGTTTACATAAATGGTAAAAAATATCCTAAATAAAAATATTGGTTAATGTAAAATATAAGTAGTTCCAAACTCATTGGATCATTACAGCATACTGTACATAGCTAAGACACTACTGTATGTGGCATTTATCTGGTTAAAATTATCCTCTTTACAAGCAAGGAGAGACTTACTGATCGGACAACATTGATTACTGGCACTTTATCATTTTCCTTTGCCTTTGCATAATTGATTCTTGTTTGTTCAGACACCAAAGACCATATCTTGTCTAGATTGATGATTGGAGCCCATCTGTGACTGGGACGGTCATGGTATCTTCTCATACCAACCTGTAGATTAAGAAGTAATTAAAAATACTACTATTCAAAAGCCAAAATAAGCCGATATCCACCGATGCCAATCTTCTGGCACACCCCTAGACAGTAAACAGTATAAAATTTATCTTAAGACCTACATTTCTTATTGCTAACTCAATATTTCCAAAGCTATACATTACATAGCCATTTTGAATAAGTGTACATTAGATACAAAGTTTATCTTATATTCACAAGGCACTAAAAATCAGGGCTGTGGCATCAGTCATGGAGTCTGAGTTGGAAGCAATTCCTGGGTTACTGGAGTCGGAGTCATAGTTGGTAAAAATGTACCAACTCTAACTCCTAATAAATTTAAATTGTATAGAATATAAATTAAACAATCTGGAAAAGGAAAAGGTTATGTACTTAATTGAGTTCATATCTTTTAAAATGGTTATTTATTACAGTGGACCTCCAGATTACGTAATTAATCCGTTCCAGAGAGAGTGACTTATCCCAAATCTGACTTATTCCGAATTAATTTTCCCCATAAGAAATAATGGAAATCCAATTAATCCATTTCAGACACCCAAAAGTATTAAAAAAAAAAGTTTTCTACATGAAATATCCATTTATCTGCACAGAAAACAATGATACATGAAGAATAAAACAATAACATCACACTTACCTTTATTGAAGACATGGTGATGTATGAAAGATGGGAGGAGAGGAGAGGATGAAATAGTTTACAATTGTTTGGAAGGGGAATTCCCTTTCATAAAGACTTCAGGTACCAAGTCCTTATCCTGGGTTACTTCCCTTTTTTGTTTTTTAATCCCACGAGAACCAGCTTGAGTCACTGGACCCCTGTCACTCAAAAAAGTGTTCCAGAGAGGTCTGCTTCTGGCATATGTTAGGAATTGTGTTGGGAGACAGGACAAGACAGTCCTTCAATGTGACACTAATATCAGCTCTATGAGTTATTTCTTCTTATTTCTTTCAACACATTGGCCGTATCCTACCGAGGCAGGGTGGCCCAAAAGGAAAAACGAAAGTTCTCCTCTTACATTTAGTAATATAAACAGGAGAAGGGGTTACTAGCCCCTTGCTCGTGGCATTTTAGTCACCTCTTACAACACACATGGCTTATGGAGGAAGAATTCTGTTCCACTTCCCCATGGAGGTTACCTGGAGGTTATTCCGGGGATCAACGCCCCCGTGGCCCGGTCCATGACCAGGCCTCCCGATGGATCAGGGCCTGATCAACTAGGCTGTTACTGCTGGATGCACGACAGTCCAACGTACGAGCCACAGCCCGGCTAATCCGGCACTGACTTTAGGTATCTGTCCAGCTCTCTCTTGAAGGCAGCCAGGGGTTTATTGGCAATTCCCCTAATGCTTGATGGGAGGCTGTTGAACAGTCTTGGGCCCCGGACACTTACGGCATTTTCCCTTGGTATACCAATGGCGCCCCTACTTTTTGTTGGGGGGCATTTTGCATCGCCTGCCCCAGTCTTTTACTTTCGTAGGGAGTGATTTCTGTGTGCAGATTTGGGACCATTCCTTCCAGGATTTTCCAAGTGTAGATTATGATATATCTCTCCCTCCTGCATTCCAACGAGTACAAGTCAAGTGCTTCCAAGCATTCCCAGTAGTTAAGGTGCTTGACAGAACTTATACTTGCAGTAAAGGATCTCTGTACACTCTCTAGTGTAAGAGGTAAGTGGTAAGAGGAAATAAACAAGAACAAGTAGTAGTAAGAAAATATAAGAAAACCCAGAGGGGTGTGTATATACTATATGCTTGTACATGTATGTGTAGTGTGACCTAAGTGTAAGCAGAAGTAGCAAGACGTACCTGAAACCTTGCATGTTCACGAGACAGAAAAAAGACACCAGCAATCCTACCATCGTGTAAAACAATTACAGGCTTCTGTTTTACACTCACTTGGCAGGACGGTAGTACCTCCCTGGGCGGTTGCTGTCTACCAACCTACAATGGGTTATTTATCTAGCACAATTCATCTAATGACATAATAAAAAATATTAATAACATAGAAACATAATATATACTCTAGAATGAATAAAATATGGCATTAAGAATGTCATGAGTGGTGGTGTGTTGTTTGTTGTTGGATGTATAAGGGCCATAGTGGTGGTGAATGCGGCAGCAGAGGCGGCAGTGTTAGTCAGTAGCCCTATATACCTCCAACAACAATGGAGGAGTCAGTTTCATGCTGTCCTTTTTCTATCGATTAATCGCTTAACTTACTTGCTACGCTGTTAACCCTTTGACTGTTTCGGTTGTATATATACGTCTTACGCGCCACTGTTTCGGACGTATTTATACACGTAAATTCTAGAGGCTTCAAATCAAGTGGGAGAAAGCTGGTAGGCCCACATGAGAGAGAATGGGTCTGTGTGGTCAGTGTGCACCACATAAAAAAATCCTGCAGCACGCAGTCCATGAGAAAAAAAAAAAAAGACAGTTTTTTTTGGATTAAAACGCAGACTTCGAGGTGTATTTTCGTTTAGTATTTATTGTTGTATTCTCGTTTTCATGTCTACCGTGATAAAAAGGAAAACATATTACAGAAATAGAGATGATTTTGATTAGTTTCACGATAAAAATGACCGTGAATTTGAGCTCAAAGTAGTGGAAATGTTCGATTTTTACCAATGTTCAAGAGTAAGCAAATCACACCACACGTCCAATACACGTCAAACTGGGGAGTCTAATATTCTTTCACTAGTTCACTGATATTATTTATACCATTTTTACAATAATGCAGTAGTCTGCACAACAGTAAATGTTTTATTTTTTGTATGAATAAAAAATCAAAATAGAAAGCAATAGTATTATAAGAGGGGCCTAGAGATGTGCCTAATGAACAGAGGATATGTTATTTTAGTGCCAAGAATGTCTGCATTGTTTATTCTGGACCCTATTTTGAAATCGGCATCTTTTTTAATTTGTGTGAAATTTACCAAATTGCCAATTTCTGACCACTTTACTGGGTAATTCAAATCGGTAAATGGGCGGTTTCTTGTACGCAGTTGATAGAAAAAATGGAGTTCTAAAGAAATAGTTATGTGTTTGGTCAACTGGAACAACGGAATTGGCCAAAAATAGGGCTCAAAGTCGTCGAAATCACCGATGCGTATATGTCGCGGAGCGTAATTCCACGAGTTTTCGACCAAATTTCGTACTTTTGGTGTCATTACCATCGGGAAAAGATTCTCTATCAATTCACAAAAAAAATATTTTTTTACCCAAAAATTTATCGACATAGAATGACAGTTTCAGAAAGGGGCCTGCGACAGTCAAATCGCTACCTGGTGCTATAGCCTTTATCAACTCCTGCTGCTTTAGTATCATACATACTGCAGGATCACTGAAAAAGGCACATTCTCCCCTCTCTCTCTCTCTCAGCCCTTTACCAAAGGGCTGGCTGGCACTAGAAGCTTTCTTTAGGCCCATGGTGGCTTATTTAGCAGTTACAAGCACTAAAAAGGAGGGAATACAAAATGTATTGTATGAATGGGTGGGATCGTCTTCACTAGCTAATAAACAATGGCACACTGGCTGTACATGGAGTGTCGGGGCCGCTCAGGCCAAGCGGACACGTCCCAGACGAATGACTTGTACAGAGTTCAGCGACGTTCACTGAGCCAATATTTTGATGAAAAATATTACTTATTCCAATGACAACTTAATCCGGGGCTCCACTGTAAGTCGTTTAAAGTGATCAATTGTTTTTTACTTTTTTGAAGTTTTAACTTTGAATTCTTCTTAGTAATATCGAAGGAAGTACACCAGACTTTTTTTTTTTAACTGGTAGAGAAAGAAGTTTCTGACTCGGATTTTCTATTACAGCTTTTTTCTTTTACATCCTATTACTTTATACTTGACAGTCTTTTTATAAAAATATAACTTCATTGTTTCCATATTTCAAGTTTTGTCTTTTGTTTAACCATAAGGTTACTGAATGCTTACAATTTCTTTAATAAATAAATTAAAGCCAGAATGGCATAGCTATAGCATTGAGACCCAAGCTTTAATAGGTTGCACGGTTTCAGGCCATATAGCAAATACACCTACCATCCGACTTACGACCGAGTTCGGTTCCGAGAAACCGGTCGTAAGTCTAAATGGTCGTAAGTTGAACTTTACTACTGAATATCAACAAAACATTTTTGCAATGACTATTTTATTGTTTTATTTTGGTATTTCATGTTTTACTTTACTTTTTATGTTGTTAGTACTGTATTTTATACTGTAAGGTTTAGGATAAACACTGTGTACAACACAAATAGTTGTTTATTTCCCAGAAATTTGGCATAAAAAAACACGGTCGTAAGTCGAGTGGTAGTAAGTCGAGCAGGTCGTAAGTCGGATGGTAGGTGTATATAATTAGTAAATTTATAATTTATTCTCTGAAGGAGGGGGTGCTAATGTTGCAGTTTTATAACAGTAGTGTAAGCGCACCTCTGGCAAGACAGTGATGGAGTGAATGATGGTGAAAGTTTTTCTTTTTCGAGCCACCTAACTTGGTGGGAAACAGCCAATGTGTTAATAATAATCATAAAATCAATACATAATTAAATTAGTCGGAGGTGCCATAATAAAGGAGTCAGAGTCTAAGGCTTTAAGTGTTGACTCCACAGCCCTGCTAAAAAAAAAAAAGGTTAAAAAATTAACTGAAATTAGGGCATATGTTATTAAAGTTTAATTCACCTTTCTAACAAATTAATAGCTTTACCTTTCCAAAGTAACCAGGATGGTATTTGTCAAAGTTAATTCTGTGATGGTGCTGACCACCAGCATTACCACGACCACCAGGATGCTTGCGGTGCTTTCCTGTAAGTGTAACATAATTTATCATACCATCTTCAGCTGAGACAAGAAAATGAGCAATCCTAAACAGATCAAGTGTAAATTAAACCCACCATTAATAGTACAGTACATGGTTATCCCAACAAAGATCACACATTCCATCTACAAACCAAATATGTAACCCTTCTTTCAGTGGTAATCACATAGAACTACATAACTGAAGCCAGAGCCCCTCACAGTTCTATGTCATAGGCTCAGCTCACTAAGATGAACTGTGAGCAGTAAATTTTGGTCTAGATACGAGAGAATGTTCTTAAATTGGTATTTTTTCAATTGTGTAATACTGGCCAAATTACCAACTTCTGTGTACTTTATAGAACAGTTGTAATAGTTGAATGGGCAGTTTCTTGTGCTCATTCGATAAAATGGAAGGCTAAATTTGGTCAAATGGAGCAATTGATCTACACTTAACCCTTTCAGGGTTAGTGCCGTACTAGTACGGCTTGCACGCCAGGGTTGGTGCTGTACTAGTACGCATAAATTCTAGCGCCTTCAAATCTAGCGAGAGAAAGCTAGTAGGCCTACACATGAAAGAATGGGTCTATGTGGTCAGTGCGCACGGTATGAAAAAAAAAAAAACCTGCAGCACACAGTGCATTAACGAGAAAAAAAAACTCCGATTGTGTTTTTGGTTTAAAACAGCGACTTTGCAGTGTATTTTCGTGTGGTATTTATGGTTGTATTCTAGTTTTCCTGGTTTTATTTTATAGAATGGAAAACATATTACGGGAAACTGAGATGACTTTGATTGGTTTCATAATGAAAAGCACCTTGAAATTGAGCTCAAACTAGCAGAAATGTTCGATTTTTGACAAAGTTCAAAAGTAAACAAATCATGCCATGCGTCCAATACACATCAACTGGTGAGTCTAATATTCTTTCACAAGTGCACTGATATTATTTATACCATTTCTACACTGATACAGTAGTCTGCATAACAGTAAATCTTCTATTTTTTGCAAGAATAAAAATTCAAAGTGGAAAGCAAAAGAAATGTAAGAGGGACCTGGGGACGTGACTAACGAACAGAGAACTTGTTATTTTAGTGCCAGGAATGTCTGTCTTGTTTATTCTGAACCCTATTTGAAAATTGGCATCTTCTGAAATGTGTGAAATTGGCAAAATTGCCAATTTCTAACCACTTTACTGGATAGTTGAAATTGGTAAATGGGTGGTTTCCTGTACTCATTCGATAGAAAAAATGGAGTTCTAGTGAAATAAATATGATTTTGACTAGTACACAGGAATTGGCCAAAATAGGGCTCAAAGTGGGCAAAATCGCCGAAGCGTAAACATCGTTGAGACCGCTAACTTCGTGAGAGCATAATTCTGTAAGTTTTCCATCAAGTTTCATACTTTTGGTGTCAATATGATCGGGAAAAGATTCTCTTATCATTTCATAAGAAAAAAAAAAAAATTTTCCCCGAAAAATTTTCGACCCTGAGAACGAGTTTAGGAGAGGGCCTCTCGACCCTGAAAGGGTTAAAAAAAAAAAAAAGTGGACACTGAATAATATTAATTTTGGGGTTCTGGAGTGAAAGGGTTAATTTATAACCTCTTCACTGTTTTAAGCCTTTAAATTTTCATAAGAACTCAGTGTCCACATTTAACCCTTTCACTGTCCAGAACCCCCCCCCCCCCCCAATCAAAATCATTCTGTGTCCACTTTAAAAAGAAATTTTCTTCTGATTTGGTAAAGATTTTTCTTCTAAAATTTGATGGAAAACTCATGGAATTACACACACAGACATCTAGGCACAATTTACACATCAGTGATTTCACTCGCTGAGTACTGTTCCACTTGACAAAATTTTTAGTTACTTCTTTAGTATGCCTTCAATTCTATCAAATGACCACAAGTAACTGCCCATTCAACCAACCTGTAAAGTGCAAGTCAGTAATTTGGCCATTACACAATTAAAAAAGTACCAATATAAAAGTAACCTAAAATAAGCAATGTAGACAGTCTTGGCACTAAAATTACATTTTCTCTGTTCATTACTCACATCCCAGGTCTCTCCATTATTAATAATACTTGCCTTCCATTGTGAATTCTTAGCTGCACAATAATAGAAGATTTACTCATTTCTCAGATAATAAAATATAACTAGGAATGACTGGTCATGGCTTACCACATCCCAATAATTGAATCAAACCTGGTAAAGGGTTAAAAACTCACAAAACAGACTGGGGGCAGGGTGCAGGGCCTTACCCATCCTCAGGAATACCAGCAAAAATCTAATATTTTCACTACTTTGAGCTCAATTGCAAGCTACTTCATCCTGAAGCCAATCAGTCTTTATTTCAGTAGTACCTTATCCATTTTATCAAATGTTACCAAGAAACTGCCAACCATAAAAACCATCCAAGAAACATGCCACAATTTTAAACTATGCCCACGATCATTTTTTTCCCTCCATGCACTGCATTTGGCAACTTTTTTATACTGTACACTCACACCACAGACCAGTCTCCCACATCTAGGTAAAACTTTATCACTCACGGCTTATCTGAGCTGAGCTCATAACTACTCAAGGGACCCTGGCTTCAGTGACAGTTCTACACAATGGCCACCGAGAGTGTTAATGTAGACAAATGTAAGGTTTACAGTACGTGGAAAGAGAATAACCATGGCACTTATGATCTGAAAAATGTAGACTTCGATCACACTGAATACAAATAAGATTTAGGAGTTCTGGTTAGATGCAATCTAAAGCCAAAACAACAGTGCATAAGTGTTTACAATAAAGCTAGAGAATTCTTGGCTTCCTATCAAATAAATATTAATAACAGGAGTCTACAGATTGTTCTTCAACTTTATATATCCTTGGTAAGGCCACACTCAGAATATACTCCACAGTTCTACACTCTTTACAACTGATGATGACCATGTTTCCACAATGGCAGACCTCGTACATTTGTGTTCAGCTTTTCCAGGCACTGGTGAGGATTTAGGGTGCTCATGGCTTTCCTAGGATATGTCTGATAGTTCTTTCTAAATTTTGCCCCAGGCAAATCTCCGATTATCGAAATTAAATTTACTGAAGATCCCGTCTCATAATATTACTGGAGTTCCCCCACCACTGCCCGAAATGCCCTGGTATTCAATTCAATTCGATTCAAGTTTATTCTCTATAAGGGTTACAATGTGGGGTTTACAGGTTTTGGGTATTGTGTGGTTTACATGTTATAAAATACTAATTACAGAGGGGGCCACTAGGACACCTAGCATGGCTAGGCATTTCGGGCAGACTTAGATTAATTCTTAACATTAAATCCTTACAGTATGATAGTGGTTTTTTTTTGTACTTAGCAGACCAAAATTGTAATTACACATTGTAACCTTTACAAAGAAATAAAATCTTTATTCTCCAGTTTGTACTTATATGATGTGATCAGAGTACATTATTGTTTCTGTCACTGATTAGTTCCATATTTATAAGGATAAGATCCAATAAACTTTTGAAAGCCCCATTAGTTCCCTGGTATGTACCCATTTAGCTGGCATGCTTTCAGAAACTATTTCTGGTACAATGCTGTGATGAACCATCTTCCACTTTATATTTGCTAGACTGAAATCTCCAAGGATAATATTTGGTATAAAGGGAGGGAGGGAGATCAAGAATTTCAAGGCAGCTATCTATCTTCCTCATCTTATCCATGAATTCCTTGGCTGTTGCTGATGGTGGTTTATTTTTTTTTTTTTTTTTTTTTTTTTTTATCACACCGGCCGATTCCCACCAAGGCAGGGTGGCCCGAAAAAGAAAAACTTTCACCATCATTCACTCCATCACTGTCTTGCCAGAAGGGTGCTTTACACTACAGTTTTTAAACTGCAACATTAACACCCCTCCTTCAGAGTGCAGGCACTGTACTTCCCATCTCCAGGACTCAAGTCCGGCCTGCCGGTTTCCCTGAATCCCTTCATAAATGTTACTTTGCTCACACTCCAACAGCACGTCAAGTATTAAAAACCATTTGTCTCCATTCACTCCTATCAAACACGCTCACGCATGCCTGCTGGAAGTCCAAGCCCCTCGCACACAAAACCTCCTTTACCCCCTCCCTCCAACCCTTCCTTGGCCGACCCCTACCCCGCCTTCCTTCCACTACAGACTGATACACTCTTGAAGTCATTCTGTTTCGCTCCATTCTCTCTACATGTCCGAACCACCTCAACAACCCTTCCTCAGCCCTCTGGACAACAGTTTTGGTAATCCCGCACCTCCTCCTAACTTCCAAACTACGAATTCTCTGCATTATATTCACACCACACATTGCCCTCAGACATGACATCTCCACTGCCTCCAGCCTTCTCCTCGCTGCAACATTCATCACCCACGCTTCACACCCATATAAGAGCGTTGGTAAAACTATACTCTCATACATTCCCCTCTTTGCCTCCAAGGACAAAGTTCTTTGTCTCCACAGACTCCTAAGTGCACCACTCACTCTTTTTCCCTCATCAATTCTATGATTCACCTCATCTTTCATAGACCCATCCGCTGACACGTCCACTCCCAAATATCTGAATACGTTCACCTCCTCCATACTCTCTCCCTCCAATCTGATATTCAATCTTTCATCACCTAATCTTTTTGTTATCCTCATAACCTTACTCTTTCCTGTATTCACCTTTAATTTTCTTCTTTTGCACACCCTACCAAATTCATCCACCAATCTCTGCAACTTCTCTTCAGAATCTCCCAAGAGCACAGTGTCATCAGCAAAGAGCAGCTGTGACAACTCCCACTTTGTGTGTGATTCTTTATCTTTTAACTCCACGCCTCTTGCCAAGACCCTCGCATTTACTTCTCTTACAACCCCATCTATAAATATATTAAACAACCACGGTGACATCACACATCCTTGTCTAAGGCCTACTTTTACTGGGAAAATTTTCCCTCTTTCCTACATACTCTAACTTGAGCCTCACTATCCTCGTAAAAACTCTTCACTGCTTTCAGTAACCTACCTCCTACACCATACACTTGCAACATCTGCCACATTGCCCCCTATCCACCCTGTCATAACGCCTTTTCCAAATCCATAAATGCCACAAAGACCTCTTTAGCCTTATCTAAATACTGTTCACTTATATGTTTCACTGTAAACACCTGGTCCACACACCCCCTACCTTTCCTAAAGCCTCCTTGTTCATCTGCTATCCTATTCTCCGTCTTACTCTTAATTCTTTCAATTATAACTCTACCATACACTTTACCAGGTACACTCAACAGACTTATCCCCCTATAATTTTTGCACTCTCTTTTATCCCCTTTGCCTTTATACAAAGGAACTATGCATGCTTTCTGCCAATCCCTAGGTACCTTACCCTCTTCCATACATTTATTAAATAATTGCACCAACCACTCCAAAACTATATCCCCACCTGCTTTTAACATTTCTATCTTTATCCCATCAATCCCGGCTGCCTTACCCCCTTTCATTTTACCTACTGCCTCACGAACTTCCCCCACACTCACAACTGGCTCTTCCTCACTCCTACAAGATGTTATTCCTCCTTGCCCTATACACGAAATCACAGCTTCCCTATCTTCATCAACATTTAACAATTCCTCAAAATATTCCTTCCATCTTCCCAATACCTCTAACTCTCCATTTAATAACTCTCCTCTCCTATTTTTAACTGACAAATCCATTTGTTCTCTAGGCTTTCTTAACTTGTTAATCTCACTCCAAAACTTTTTCTTATTTTCAACAAAATTTGTTGATAACATCTCACCCACTCTCTCATTTGCCTCTCTTTTTACATTGCTTCACCACTCTCTTAACTTCTCTCTTTTTCTCCATATACTCTTCCCTCCTTGCATCACTTCTACTTTGTAAAAACTTCTCATATGCTAACTTTTTCTCCCTTACTACTCTCTTTACATCATCATTCCACCAATCGCTCCTCTTCCCTCCTGCACCCACTTTCCTGTAACCACAAACTTCTGCTGAACACTCTAACACTACATTTTTAAACCTACCCCATACCTCTTCGACCCCATTGCCTATGCTCTCATTAGCCCATCTATCCTCCAATAGCTGTTTTATATCTTACCCTAACTGCCTCCTCTTTTAGTTTATAAACCTTCACCTCTCTCTTCCCTGATGCTTCTATTCTCCTTGTATCCCATCTACCTTTTACTCTCAGTGTAGCTACAACTAGAAAGTGATCTGATATATCTGTGGCCCCTCTATAAACATGTACATCCTGAAGTCTACTCAACAGTCTTTTATCTACCAATACATAATCCAACAAACTACTGTCATTTCGCCCTACATCATATCGTGTATACTTATTTATCCTCTTTTTCTTAAAATATGTATTACCTATAACTAAACCCCTTTCTATACAAAGTTCAATCAAAGGCTCCCATTATCATTTACACCTGGCACCCCAAACTTACCTACCACACCCTCTCTAAAAGTTTCTCCTACTTTAGCATTCAAGTCCCCTACCACAATTACTCTCTCACTTGGTTCAAAGGCTCCTATACATCACTTAACATCTCCCAAAATCTCTCTCTCTCCTCTGCATTCCTCTCTTCTCCAGGTGCATACACGCTTATTATGACCCACTTCTCGCATCCAACCTTTACTTTAATCCACATAATTCTTGAATTTACACATTCATATTCTCTTTTTCTCTTTCCATAACTGATCATTTAACATTACTGCTACCCCTTCCTTTGCTCTAACTCTCTCAGATACTCCAGATTTAATCCCATTTATTTCCCCCCACTGAAACTCTCCTACCCCCTTCAGCTTTGTTTCGCTTAGGGCCAGGACATCCAACTTCTTTTCATTCATAACATCAGCAATCATCTGTTTCTTGTCATCCGCACTACATCCACGCACATTTAAGCAACCCAGTTTTATAAAGTTTTTCTTCTTCTCTTTTTTAGTAATTGTATACAGGAGAAGGGGTTACTAGCCCATTGCTCCCGGCATTTTAGTCGCCTCATACGACACGCATGGCTTACGGAGGAAAGATTCTTTTCCACTTCCCCATGGTGGTTTATATTAAGGATAATTACCTGATTCTTATTTTCCACTATAATACCTAGTACCTCTATATTTGATGAATTCAACAGTTCTGTGTAACAAGAAACATCTTTGATGTAAGAGCTTACTTCTCACTGTGACTGGCATGGTTATGGAACAAGTTGAGCTACTGTATGTCATGTACCAGACATCGCCAGCCACCACCCAAGTAACCAATGAAGTTCTTTAACCCTTTCACTGTTGAAACCTCTGATCACAAACTTGCTCTCAGTGTCAAAGAATTTTCAGGTACAAAAATTATTTCTTATGAAATGATAATCTTTTCCCAATGGTAATGAAACCATAATTACATAATTTGATGGAAAACTTACAATATTACACTCTCGCAAAGTTTGCGGTCTCTGCGATATTTACACAACGGCGATTTCACCCACTTTGAGCCCTATTTTGGGCCAATTCCATTGTTTCAGTTGACTATATTCATAGCTATTTTGCAAGAACTCCTTTTGTTCTATCTATCGTATTTTGAGGTAAGTAATGAGTGTACTGTGTGTGTATTTTACTTTTTGTTGTTTTTCAATCTTTGTTCTATTGCTAACTTAATATGCGTTAGTGTAAACTTATTATCCGACTTAAATGTAAACAAATGACGTTCTGCTTTCTGTATAAGTGGGGCCCTACTGTACGTACTTTTTCTAACTGGTTTTCAAAATTCCAAATGAAAACTTTTAAATGGCTAGAATAATGCCATTTACAATTACAATAATTACTTATTAACAATGACAATGTACAATGTTTCATTAACTCAGGTTACACTTACCAACACGGCCATGACCATGGCTCACGTGTCCACGAAGTTTCCTGGTTTTCTTCTTCTGAGTGGACTGCAAAACAAACAGTAAATCAACACATCAGCAAAGAGATCAAATTAAAACACGATACTGTATTAAGTACGGTATATTGGCTCATAAACTGCCTTGCTCCAATTAAGAGGTTCACATATTGCTCTAGACTTCTGCTGGTCAGAGCATTTTTTGAAATGTGGCAGTGTAATCAGAAAATAATAGTACAGTGGTACCTTGACTTACGAGTGCCCCAATTTACGAGTTTTCCGAGTTACGAGCAGTCGCTTAGTTGATTTTTTGCTTTGAGTTGCAAGCCAAAATCTGAGTTACGAGCGACCTTCAGATATGCCACCACTAATTGGTGGCGTATCTGACATCAAATCCAACTTTGTACCCAGAGGAACATCAAGTATTTCGTCCCATCCCACATGCTCTTCCAAGACATAAATGGAAGGAAAATACTCCCACACTAATCCCTGATTGTAGTGAGGCACCTTGTCCCTTGTTTCATTCTCGTATAAATCTAGGGAAGAGGTACCTCCATTTCAACAACATTTTTTTTTTTTCCAAAAAACTAATTAAGGTGGGTGGAGTACTGATAGTGGTGGGTGTAGCAGTGAAGGTGGTGGGTGTAGCAGTGAAGGTGGTGGGTGTAGCAGTGAAGGTGGTGGGTGTAGCAGTGAAGGTGGTGGGTGTAGCAGTGAAGGTGGTGGGTGTAGCAGTGAAGGTGGTGGGTGTAGCAGTGAAGGTGGTGGGTGTAGCAGCGAAGGTGGTGGGTGTAGCAGTGAAGGTGATGGGTGTAGCAGTGAAGGTGGTGGGTGTAGCAGTGAAGGTGGTGGGTGTAGCAGTGAAGGTGGTGGGTGTAGCAGTGAAGGTGGTGGGTTTTAGCAGTGAAGGTGGTGGTGTAGCAGTGGAAGGTGGGGGGTGTAGTAGTGAAGGTGGTGGTGTAGTAGTGAAGGTGGTGGGTGTAGTAGTGAAGGTGGTGGGTGTAGTAGTGAAGGTGGTGGGTGTAGTAGTGAAGGTGGTGGGTGTAGTATACAATATTTCTTATTTATATTCATTTTTATTTAAAAACCCCTTAGAAAAAAATTGGGGTGGTTTTTTGGGGGGGTTGGAATGGATTAATGGCATTTCAATTAATATCAATGAGGAAAATAGATTTGATATACGAGCAAACTTGAGTTACAAGCTGGGTCATGGAACGCATTAAACTCGTAAGTCAAGGTACCACTGTATTTATTGGCCTACTGGAGGCTGACATTGGTAGAAAAGTGCTAGATGTAGTTCAATGTAGACAGATGAAGCTAAGGACCTATCTCCCACTTATACAATACCTACTTGCACTCACTTATTGAAGACATGAGCTAATGGTCTGCCAAATCCCTCCTAGCATTCCTTAAAAATCCTGAAAGTTTGCCTCAGAACAATGTGACATGTTTGGTTTGTATCTATTTGGCCAAGAACCATATCACTAGAAACTTTGATCTTGCATAATTTATTTGTCCTGGCCAACATAATGATTTCTGGAATCTTGTTTGCATCCTCATGAAAAATAGAGAAAGTATTGAGACTTGTACAGTTTTTACACAGGAAGATACTAGCAATATTCCAGAAATTATAAATTATGTAGAACAGAACAATAATAAACTGCACAATTAAGGTCACAAGTGACATGGTCCTTGGACAAATAGATAAATTAAAACCTAACAAATCCCCAGGCCTTGATGAACTGTACACAAGGGTTCTAAAGGAATGTAAAGAGGAGCTTAGCAAACCTTTGGTTAATCTTTTCAACATATCACTACAAACTGGCATAGTGCCAGATAAGTGGAAAATGGCAAATGCAATACAGCACCTATTTTCAAAGCTGGTGACAGGTCCTTAGCTTCAAGCTACAGACCAATAAGCCTAACCTCCAGTGGCAAAATTTATGGAATCAATAATTGCCTAGGCAATTCATAGCCATCTTGAATAGTATAAATTGATCAACGAATCTCAACACGGCTTTACAAAATGGCGTTCCTGCTTTATGAATTTAACTTTTTTCACTAAGGTATTTAAGCAGGTAGATCATGGTAATGAATATATTGTGTATAAGGACTTCAGTAAGGCTTTTGATAGTCCAGCATTAGAGACTACTGAAGAAAATTAAGGCACATGGAATAGGAGAAATTTCAATTACTCCGATATGGTAGACACGAGGAAATCAAAACTTCATCAGAGTACAAAACAAATTCCGGCCACAAAACAGAGCGAAAAACAAACGTCAAAGACCTGGGAGTGATTATGTTGGAGGATCTCACCTTCAAGGACCATAACATTATATTAATTGCAGCTGCTAGAAAAATGACAGGATGGATAATGAGAACCTTCAAAACTAGGGATGCCAAGCCCATGATGACACTCTTCGGGTCGCTTGTTCTATCTAGGCTGGAATATTGCTGCACAATAACAGCACCTTTCAAGGCAGGTGAAACTGCTGACCTAGAAAATGTAGAGAACCTTCACAGCGCGCATAACAGAGATAAAACACCTCAATTACTGGGAGCGCTTGAAGTTCCTGAACCTGTATTCCCTGGAAAGCAGGCGGGAGAGATACATGATTATATACACCTGGAAAATCCTAGAGGGACTAGTACCGAACTTGCACACAAAAATCACTCGCAACGAAAGCAAAAGACTTGGCAGATGATGCAACATCCCCCAATAAAAAGCAGGGGTGTCGCTAGCACGTTAAGAGACAATACAATAAGTGTCAGGGGCCCGAGACTGTTCAACTGCCTCCCAGCATACATAAGGGGGATTACCAATAGACCCCTAGCAGTCTTCAAGCTGGCACTGGACAAGCACCTAAAGTCGGTACCTGACCAGCCGGGCTGTGGCTCGTACGTTGGATTGCATGCAGCCAGTAGTAACAGCCTGGTTGATCAGGCTCTGATCCACCAGGAGACCTGGTCACAGACCGGGCCGCGGGGGCGTTGACCCCCGCAACTCTCTCCAGGTAAACTCCAGGTTAGAGGCATGGTTGGCAGATAGGCAGCAGTGTGTTTGCATAAATGGGGAGAAATCAGAGTGGAAAAGCGTTACGAGCGGTGTTCCACTGGAGTCAGTGTTGGGTCCCTTGATGTTCAAAATCTACATAAATGACATAGATGAGGGAATAAATAGCAACATAAGCAAGTTTGCCAATGACACCATAATAGGCCATCGAATTCATTCTGACAAGACATTAGAGCACTCCAGGAAGATTTGAATAGACTGATGTAGTGGTCAGAGAAGTGGCAGATGCAGTTTAATATAGACAAATGCAAAGTTATAAATGTTCGACAGGAAAATAACCATGCCACATATAAACTAAATAATGTAGATCTTTATATTACTGTTTGCAAAAAGGATTTGGAGTTCTGGTTAGCAGTAATCTAAAACCAAGACAACAGTGCACAAGTGTTCGCAATAAAGCGAACAGAATTCTTGGCTTCATATCAAGAAACAAATAATAGGAGTCCTCAAGTTGTTCAACCCTATATATCCTTGGTTAGGCCTCATTTAGATTATGCTGCACAGTTTTGGCTTGCCTATTACAGAATGGATATAAATGGTCTGGAAAACATACAAAGGAGGATGACAAAGTTGATCCCATGTATCAGAAATCTTTCCTATGAGGATGACTGAGGGGTCCCGAATCTGCACTCTAGAAAGGCGTAGAATTTGGGGGGATATGACTGAGGTGTATAAATGGAAAACAGGAATAAAGGGGATGTAAATAGCATGCAAAAAATATCTAGCCAAGACAGGACTCGCAGCAATGGTTTTAAGTTGGAAAAATTCCAATTCAGAAAGGAAATAGGAAAGCACTGATTTGGTAAGAGAGCTGTGGATGAGTGGAACAAACTCCCAAATACCGTCATAGAAGCTAAAACGTTGTGAAGTTTTAAAAATAAGTTAAATAAATACACGAGTGAGTGTGGGTGGGTGTGAGCTGGACCTGACTAGCTTGTGCTACTAGGTCAGATGCCATGCTCCTTCCTTAAGTTAATGTGACCTGACCTGACTAGGTTGGGGCATTGGCTTAGGCCGGTGGGGGACTGGACCTGCCTCGTATGGGTAAGTAAGCCTGCTACAGTGTTCCTTCTTTATGTTCTTTGTTAGTAACCCAAACTGACTGACATGACAGAATGCACACATAGGGACTGTTCTGCACACAATTTGCATATTTTTTTTATTATCACACCGGCCGATTCCCACCAAGGCAGGGTGGCCCGAAAAAGAAAAACTTTCACCATCATTCACTCCATCACTGTCTTGCCAGAAGGGTGCTTTACACTACAGTTTTTAAACTGCAACATTAACACCCCTCCTTCAGAGTGCAGGCACTGTACTTCCCATCTCCAGGACTCAAGTCCGGCCTGCCGGTTTCCCTGAATCCCTTCATAAATGTTACTTTGCTCACACTCCAACAGCACGTCAAGTATTAAAAACCATTTGTCTCCATTCACTCCTATCAAACACGCTCACGCATGCCTGCTGGAAGTCCAAGCCCCTCGCACACAAAACCTCCTTTACCCCCTCCCTCCAACCCTTCCTAGGCCGACCCCTACCCCGCCTTCCTTCCACTACAGACTGATACACTCTTGAAGTCATTCTGTTTCGCTCCATTCTCTCTACATGTCCGAACCACCTCAACAACCCTTCCTCAGCCCTCTGGACAACAGTTTTGGTAATCCCGCACCTCCTCCTAACTTCCAAACTACGAATTCTCTGCATTATATTCACACCACACATTGCCCTCAGACATGACATCTCCACTGCCTCCAGCCTTCTCCTCGCTGCAACATTCATCACCCACGCTTCACACCCATATAAGAGCGTTGGTAAAACTATACTCTCATACATTCCCCTCTTTGCCTCCAAGGACAAAGTTCTTTGTCTCCACAGACTCCTAAGTGCACCACTCACTCTTTTTCCCTCATCAATTCTATGATTCACCTCATCTTTCATAGACCCATCCGCTGACACGTCCACTCCCAAATATCTGAATACGTTCACCTCCTCCATACTCTCTCCCTCCAATCTGATATTCAATCTTTCATCACCTAATCTTTTTGTTATCCTCATAACCTTACTCTTTCCTGTATTCACCTTTAATTTTCTTCTTTTGCACACCCTACCAAATTCATCCACCAATCTCTGCAACTTCTCTTCAGAATCTCCCAAGAGCACAGTGTCATCGGCAAAGAGCAGCTGTGACAACTCCCACTTTGTGTGTGATTCTTTATCTTTTAACCCCACGCCTCTTGCCAAGACCCTCGCATTTACTTCTCTTACAACCCCATCTATAAATATATTAAACAACCACGGTGACATCACACATCCTTGTCTAAGGCCTACTTTTACTGGGAAAAAATTTCCCTCTTTCCTACATACTCTAACTTGACCCCTCACTATCCTCGTAAAAAACTCTTCACTGCTTTCAGTAACCTACCTCCTACACCATACACTTGCAACATCTGCCACATTGCCCCCCTATCCACCCTGTCATTACGCCTTTTCCAAATCCATAAATGCCACAAAGACCTCTTTAGGGCCTTATCTAAATACTGTTCACTTATATGTTTCACTGTAAACACCTGGTCCACACACCCCCTACCTTTCCTAAAGCCTCCTTGTTCATCTGCTATCCTATTCTCCGTCTTACTCTTAATTCTTTCAATTATAACTCTACCATACACTTTACCAGGTACACTCAACAGACTTATCCCCTATAATTTTTGCACTCTCTTTTATCCCCTTTGCCTTTATACAAAGGAACTATGCTTTGCTCTCTGCCAATCCCTAGGTACCTTACCCTCTTCCATACATTTATTAAATAATTGCACCAACCACTCCAAAACTATATCCCCACCTGCTTTTAACATTTCTATCTTTATCCCATCAATCCCGGCTGCCTTACCCCCTTTCATTTTACCTACTGCCTCACGAACTTCCCCCACACTCACAACTGGCTCTTCCTCACTCCTACAAGATGTTATTCCTCCTTGCCCTATACACGAAATCACAGCTTCCCTATCTTCATCAAAATTTAACAATTCCTCAAAATATTCCTTCCATCTTCCCAATACCTATACCTCTCCATTTAATAACTCTCCTCTCCTATTTTTAACTGACAAATCCATTTGTTCTCTAGGCTTTCTTAACTTGTTAATCTCACTCCAAAACTTTTTCTTATTTTCAACAAAATTTGTTGATAACATCTCACCCACTCTCTCTCTGTACAGAAATTTTTTAGGCCACAAATTTACCATGGATCACCAATTTAGAGCTCTCAGTTCAACTGTTTGGGTTGCCTATCACTGCCTCACACCTGGGGCAAAAAATAAAAACAGGTAGGCCCATGGAATACATCATAGGAATTATTGCATCAGAAGCACAAACGATGGAACCAGGACCCCTCTCAATACCACCAGATTATCTCGCAGCAAATGCAGAGAAACTGCACTAGCACACTTGGCTAATACACTGGTCTGGGGTCAATCCCCGGTATGGCTGGAAAACATTAGGATACGTTTCCTTAAGATACCTGCTGTCCAACGTTCACCCATTAGTAGAGAGGAGTTTATGACGACGTTTTGTAAGCTCCTCTCTTCTATGTATGGTTTATTTGTATATCGTTCCAGTCACGGCTTTGTGCCCTTTTTTTGTTATTTCTTGTTTCTCTTGTTTGTTTTCAAACATATACAAGAAAATCTTATCTGCAACAGTTTCAGGTTGGAATAGACCTGAGAGAACTAAATGTGCAGATAAAATTATAATTTGGAACAAGTACAGCACTTTACTATAATAATAATTTTTATTTCTACAAGTACATATACAAGGTATACAGGCCTAGCTGACATTAGTAACATACTACTATATAGAAAGCCCCTTGTTATGAAGAGCATTTTGGGCAAATAAGGTCAGTTTTGTCCCAGGATGCAACCCTCACTAGTTGACCAACACCCAGGTACCCATTTCACTAATCTGGAGTTTATCTGGAGAGAGTTCCGGGGGTCAACGCCCCCGCGGCCCGGTCTGTGACCAGGCCTCCTTAGGTCAGTGTCCTAGGATGCGACCCACACCAGTCGACTAACACCCAGGTACCCATTTTACTGATGGGGAACATAGACAACAGGTGGAAAGAAACACGTCCAATGTTTCTACTCTGGCTGGGAATCGAACCCAGGCCCTCACCGTGTGAAGCGAGAGCATTAACCACCAGGCCACCAGAGCCGTCTAATGGGTGAATAAAAAAAAAAAGGCAATACCATGACAGGAACGATGCACAAATAACCCGCACATAGAAGAGAGGAGGCTACGACGACGTTTCGGTCCGACTTGGACGAAATAGTCCGAATGGTCCAAGTCGGACCATGTTACTGATGTCAGCTAGGCCTGTATACCTGGTATATGTACTTGTAGAAATAAAAGTTATTATTATAGCTAAGTACTGTACTTGTTCCAAATTATAATTTTAGCTGCACATTTAGTTCTCTCAGGTCTATTCCAACCTGAAACTGTTGCAGATAAGATTTTCTTGTATATGTCAGAAAACAAACAAGAGAAACAAGAAAAATTTATTTATACCAATTTATGATGAACATTACAACTTAGGCTATTGCTTGCTGTTCTCATGATTCAAGTACTGTAGTAAAACACCTTGAACTGCAGCTATTATAGCGTAGTAGTAGACATTTACAAAGTAAAAACTGTAAACTGTTAAACTACTACCATGCACATTTATGTTAACATTGCCAAATGAAAATTGTTTGGTACCTTGATCACTCCACAAAATGGCAAGTTATCATCCAATTTCTTTTTCTTGTCTCAGAAAACTGCTCAATCTATAAAAAGAATCCTACATTTAACATAGTAACTTAAATTTTTGGGCATGCCCAGCCTTGTCTGGTACAATCCTAGCATGCCTACCCATGCTAGGCAGGTCTCTCACACCCTGGCCATAATGTTCTTAGCATTATGTACAGTTCACGAAAAAATTAAAACTATAACAAAAAATGCAATAAAAAAACAATATGAAGATCCTTCGTCACTCCTTGCATCAATTAACCTCGTATGAAATTTATGAAGACTTTGTTTACTGCTTGACTTTGTTTACTGGTTGACTCGAAACATGCCTCGTAAATTTCACGAACATTTATCGAGTCTCATCGGCAATATTATCATCAGATTCACACTGTAATGAATGAAATCTTACTCGCTCATGATCATAAAACTCTTGTATGTGTAGATGACGGTGAGGTATGAGGCAGGATCGTCATAAAACGGCAACAATATCAGGAGAGTGCAAGCAGCCATACCATGTTGATGATGATGTTTACCGAGAGGGAGATATGGTCAGTCAGCGCCGCCTGGCCGCAGCCACCGCAACTACGGATAACACACACACTAATACTATCCACAATTTTACTAACAAATTCAAATTCAAAATTAAAATTAATTTTTTTATTTCTTTGCAAAGTTTACAATGTGTGACTGACATGTTATAAGGAGTCTATTTCCATACATAGTTTACAATGTTTAATTACAATATTGATTTGCAAGTGCAAAACAAGCCACTATCATGCCGAGGCATTTCGGGCAGACTACACCTATATGTATCATAACTGCGTTATATAATTTTTAAACAAATCCTAATCATCCCTCTTTGAAGGCATGTGACTGCCACTTCATCAGTTCTCTCATGTATCTGAAGACCGATGTAAGATGGAATCCACAGGTGTACTCTAACTCCACTTTCCACAATCCTACCATACCTGTGTCCGGCTTCTGACACAAGCATGAATACAATTGATACTCAAGGAGCTAAGAGCATTTACGGATACGATTAAGGTGTCAGCATTTGATAATCGGAAACATTTGAGTGCAAGCAGTATAACAAAAAGTTCTGTTGAAAGGTTAAAGCCAAGTTACTGATGCGTGTCAGGTAAAGACCCACAAGATATAGCAGACACATTCATCACCTTCACAACTACCATTAGAAAACATCTTATCTCCCTGATACACCCCATCAACTAACTACACGAATACCACCTAGTGGTTCACACTTACACTCACTCACCCATTTGACCATAAACAGAAATATTAATCTCAATTTTAAAATAATGAATCCTATGATACTCCAATACTGAAACTATGTACTGTGCCAAAACAAAAGCATTCACATTGCTAAACTCACAAACTAGTATTTAGTCACTTAGCCATAATACCAACTTACCTCATAATTTGTAATATTTTAAAATAAAGAATTAAACTAAGTCTGCCCGAAATGCCTAGCCATGCTAGGCGTTCTAGCGGTACACTCTGTAATTATTATTTAACTACATGTAAACCACACAACAACCAAATTCTGTAAATTCAACATTGTAATCTTTATAGAGAATAAACTTTGAATTGAATTGAATTGAATTGAATTGAATAGCTAATGTTTTAACACTGGAACTGGAGTCGTGCAGCAAATGGTTAGTAGACAACAAACTATCATTACACCTCGGGAAAACTGAAGCCATTCTCTTTGGCACGAAACATAAACTGAGAAGGGTAAATAATTTTAATGTTCAGTGTAATGGGGAGCCCATCACTTTGGTTTCATCAGTAAAATATCTGGGAATCCCCTTTGACCCATGCATGTCAGGAGAATTGATAGGGAACAGTGTAATAAAGAAAACGAATGCCAGACTGAAGTTCCTGTATAGACAAGCACAGTGTCTACCTACTGAGGCTCGCAGGACCCTATGTCTAGCCCTTATACAATGCCATATGGATTACGCTTGCTCTTCTTGGTACTCTGCCTTGACAAAAAAACTGAAAGATAGACTGCAAATCACCCAGAACAAAATCGTAAGATTCATCCTGGGGCTGGGACCAAGAGAACATGTAGGCCAGGATGAATTACAGCAGTTGGATATGCTGAATGTTGAAGATAGAGTAAATAAAACAACTGAAGCTAAATCATGTTTATAAAATTGCTCACAAACAGTGTCCAGAATATCTTGCTGTCAATTTTGTCAAGGTTGGGAACCAAAGCAATCATAGTACTAGGGGGAGAGAGCACAACTTTGTAGTACCCACAGTCATTGGCCAGGCTTCAAACACCTTTTATTGTACAGCAATAAAGGAATGGAACAGACTACCCGCACATGTCAAAGCAAGTCATAGCATGAACCAGTTCAAGAAGAGTGCCAAAAGGTGTCTGATGAATGTAGCTACAGAAAGGGAGGGGAATGAATTTCTATTTTTTAGCTAACATACGTGTAAATATTACCTTATTCCTAGTAATGACCCTCGTATTGTAGATAGTCTTAATGACCCTCGTGTAGTAGATACTCTTTTTAGTATGATAATAAGATGTAATCTTCATTATAGAATAATAAGAAAATATTATAACCTTTATATTATAATAATAAGGTAAAAGGACCCCAATGGAAATAAGTCACTCTGTCTGACTTTTTTGGGTTATTCTAGGTTCTCTACACATATGCTGCTATGTATGATAATTCTGTGTAACTGTATTTGTGTATACCTGAATAAACTTACTTACTTGCTCCAATTTCTATTGGAAAGCCATCACTTTATATGACAACATCAGCACTACCAGTTGCGCCGGTGGATAAGTGAACAAAAATATCAACAAACATAACAAGTGTGACTTTGTCAATGGTCCAAGTCGGACCGAAACGTCGTCGTAAGCTTCTCTCTTTTATGTGCGGGTTATTTGTGTATCAACAAACAATTTGCATCCTGCTTTTTAAGAAGTTCTTTAGAGGGACAAGGAGGAATAGTGGCTTGGAGAGGTAATTTCCCATGGTGCGGGAAAGTTTCGTTGTTGTCTTGCTTGTAATGGATCAAGTATCTGATTCATTCGGAAGTCAGTTGTAATTTTTATAATCCATCTGGAGGAGTTCTCACCAGTGCTGATATAAGCATGGAGGGTGGACTGACCGAAACTTTATAATAATAATTATTTCTGCAAGTACATGTACAAGGTATACAGGTCTAGCCGACATCAATAACATACTACTGTTATATATATATATATATATATATATATATATATATATATATATATATATATATATATATATATATTATATATATATATATAATATATATATATATATGGGTCACCAGGCCATCGATACTGTCCTCAGGGACAAATTGAATGACCTTATGAGAATGGAGGAGAGAATAAGCGATCTTGATGCCCATGATGCTCTGTATCTCCTCACAAGGTGTCTTACTATGCCAAGACTCACTTACTTCTTGAGGTGTGCACCCTCTTTTGACAACCCAACACTCGATGAATATGACGCACACCTGAGATCAACTTTTAAGAAGGCACTGAACCTGTCACTAGAGGATGAGCAATGGGATCAGGCAACCCTCCCAGTGCGACTGGGAGGTATAGGGGTGCGTAAAGCAACGCATGTTGCTTTAGCTGCTTTTCTGTCTTCGTGTTTGGCTTCCAGTGCATTAGTCAAGAAGATAGTGCCCGAACGCTTGAGAGACTTGGTAGGAGCTCAAGACCCCAGGTTTACTGAAGCAGCAATTCGGTGGGACACCCTTACAGACTCCTCCAGTAGACCAGCTCCTCCCAAGCAGCACAAACAGTCCCACTGGGACAAACCGATCATGGAAAAAATCGCCAACACAATGCTCTCCAATGCTTCAGGAAAGAACAAAGCTCGTCTCCTGGCAGTGAAGGCACCACACTCAGGAGATTTCCTGTTAGCTGTTCCCAATTCCTCCCTGGGCGCCCGTCTCGACCCACAGGCCATTCGGATTGGTGTTGCTCTTCGCCTAGCCGCCCCCATCCTCACCGAACATAGGTGTATTTGCGGCAGGGCGACAGCTGATCAATTCGGACTCCATGGTCTCGTGTGCCACACAGCAGAAGGGAAGTATGCCAGACATGAGGAGATCAATGACATAATAAAGAGAAGCCTCGCCACAGCCCGTTGCCCAGCTCAACGGGAACCCCAAGTACAGAGGTCTGATGGAAGTCAAAAAGCGTCCTGATGGAGCCACTATGCTACCCTGGAAGGATGGAAAGCAGATTGCCTGGGACTACACCTGTGCTGCCACATTGGCAGACACCTACTTGCCATACTCTGTAGTGGAAGGGGGTGGAGCTGCCAGCCACAGGGAGACCCAGAAGATCCGAAAATATGAAGACCTTCCCCCTTGCTATAACTTCATTCCAATAGGGTCGGAGACCCTTGGAGCATGGGGCAAGTGTGCTCTAAAGTTCCTCAAAGAGCTGGGTGAAAAGCTCATCATAGAAACCAAGGACCACAGGGCGACCAGCTTTCTCTTTCAGAGACTCAGTGTTGCGATCCAGAGAGGAAATGCCTGCAGCATTCTGGGCACGCAGCCCACCGCAGGGGAGCTGGACGAAGTATTCGAGATGTAGCTCTGAGCTACCTATGTTGTTTTACTTTGTATCATATTTTTGTGAATGTTTTGTCAATGTATTTTGTCTTTAAATAAAATATATATACATAATATAGGGGGTGGTAGGAGAAAATTCTCAAACAGCTTCAGGGAGAATCTTGAGTTTTCCCTGAAGCAAGTTTATTTTTTCTCTGAGGATGAGGGTCCCCATAACAGTTCTAGAGGTGGTACCTCCCATATATATAATATATATATATATATATATATATATATATATATATATATATATATATATATATATATATATATATATATATATATATATATATATTATATATATATATATTATATATATATATATATTATATATATTATTAATATATATATAGAGCCCCATGCTATGCAAAGCATTTCGGGCAAATTAGGTCAATTTTGTCCTAGGATGGTCGACCCACACCAGTCGACTAACACCCTGGTACCTATTTTACTGACAGGTGAAAATGGACAGCAGGTATCTTAAGGAAACACGCCCTAATTCCTCTCCTAAGTACGGGTTATTTGTAAATTTATGGATGATTTACATATATTATTTGGAGGATTTAATACACATGTGGGTACTGTTTTGTGTTACAGTGATCATTTTTTTATTTTATGCCCCAGAACTGGAGAATATACAGAGAATTTTCACTGCACATATAAATACAATAAAACATCTAAATTACTGGGAACGGTTGAAGTCCCTTGATCCACACTCTTTGGAACGCAGGCGAGAAAGATACATGGAAAATCCTAGAGGGGCTAGTCTCAAATCTGCACACGGAAATCACTCCCTACGAAAGCAAAAGACTCGGCAGGCGGTGAAACATCTGTCCATTGAGAAGCAAGGGTGCCATGAGTACACTAAGAGACAACACAGTAAGTGTCAGCGGCCCAAGATTGTTCAACTGCTTCCCCGCATACAGAAGGGGAGATTACCAATAGATCCCCCCCCGGCTGTCTTCAAGAGAGAGCCGGCAGTAACAACCTGGTTAATCAGGTCCTGATCCAACGCAAGGCCTGGTCACAGACCGGGCCGCGGGGGCGTTGACCCCCGAAACACCCTCCAGGCATACCTAGACCTAACGCAACATAGTGCAAGTGTATTCACTATGGCAGCTCATAATATTTTATACGTGACCACGTAGTGAGAGCATCCTGTGCTTAAAGGTCATATTTGTAGCGAAATATAAAATATCTTCACCAGGCCTTGCCCCATTCTCAGATTTTAATCATGAATGACAAGAACATAAGAAAGAAGGAACACTGCAGCAGGCCTACTGGCCCATGCGACGCAGGTCCATTCCCCCCTAAGCAGCCCAATGACCCACCTAGTCAGGTCACTTCCACTTAAGGAAGGAGAAAGGCATCAGACCTAGTAGCACAAGCTAGTTAGGTACAACTCACACCCACCCACACCTACTCATGTATTTATCTAACCTATTTTTAAAACTACACAACGTTTTAGCCTGAATAACTGTACTCGGGAGTTTGTTCCACTCATCCACAACTCTATTACCAAACCAGTGCTTTCCTATATCCTTCCTGAATCAGAATTTTTCGAACTTGAAACCATTGCTGCGAGTCCTGTCTTGTCTGGAAATTTTCAGCACGCTATTTACATCCTCTTTATTTATTCCTGTTTTTCATTTATACACCTCGATTATATCCCCCCCCCAAATTCTACGCCTTTCTAGAGAGTGCAGATTCAGGGCCCTCAGTCTATCCTCATACGGAAGATTTCTGATACATGGGATCATCTTTGTCATCCTCCTCTGTACGTTTTCCAGAGCATTTATATCCATTCTGTAATACGGTGACCAGAACTGAGCAGCATAGTCTAAATGAGGCCTAACCAAGGATATATAGAGTTGAAGAACAAACTGAGGACTTCTATTATTTATACTTATAGATATGAAGCCAAGAATTCTGTTAGCTTTATTGCGAACACTAATGCACTGTTGTCTTGGTTTTAGATTACTGCTAACCAGAGACTCCCCACTGGGGAAGTCAATGCAAGATAGAAGAAGTTACCCTCCAACCGGAGGGCCCAAGAGAGGATAGAAGAATGAAGAAGACGAACGACACCCCCGCCTAGGGGGCCACCGCCGGGTCACCATCTGGAGAAGACCCGGGCCGGAAGTACCGGCAAATCTTTAATGAATGAATGAAATGCTTAACCAGACTCCTAAATCCTTTTCTCAATCAGTAGTATTAAGATCTACATTGGAATTGGAATAGAGCCAGCTCCATAAACTTCTCGAGTGATGAGCTACAGCTCCTGGGCCTTTTAGGTACTCAAATTTTTAACCAGGAGGGTTAACCACCCAAGATTACTTAATAAAGTCTGTGCGTCATCGAGCACTGTTTAATATTTCCATTGGGGCCCTTTAGTCTTGCCCCAGGATGCGATCCATAACAAGTGACTAACACTCAGGTACCCACTTACTGAATAGGGAGAGCAGGTGTAAAGAAAAATGCCAGGGCTTGAGACACGGACATTCAGTACGTGAAGCGCGTGCGTTGCCAACTGAACGTAAAAACTAAAAATCCCGTTTTGCTAGAAGTCATATCCTGGCTGGGCAAAATGCCTTTTTTTTTGAGGGGGGGGGTTATTGTTTGATTTTTTTGGGGGGTATGTTTGACTTTTTGGGTCATTTGTCTGACTTTTTGGGATATCCTAGGTAATTTACACATGTTACTATACATGATAATTTGTGTAACTGTATTTATGTGTACCTGTAGCTAAATAAACTTAATTAATTAAAGCTCTCAGTCTTCCTGGAAGTTTTCATGTGTTGGGCTTAAAGGTATCTGATACTGATGTAGAAATACTCTACCGGCGATGCTTGGAAGAAAATAAAATGACTCATTGCGTTTTAGGAAGTAACAAAAACAAGCCATAGTAAGATTCTGTAAAGTAAAATGTGTACTTAATTAAATAATAAGGATACTCACACAGGAAGCCGAACACGTGTTGACAGGATTAACCTCTTCCTTCATTCCAGGGAAACATGTCATTTACAAGCTATTGATCTAAGTTTATTAATATATGATCAAGCTAAAGTATTATTTAACGCAATTCCTTGCGCAGATTCATTAATAATTTCAATAAATTTTATATATATTGAAAACTGGCATTGTAGAGAAAACGTACAAAGGCAAAATGTTTGTTTACCCTTCGATCAGCTGAGAAGAATACGAAGGTTCTCTAATTTTTGGAGAATTTCTGGCAAGGGAAACATCCTAGTGGATATATTTTGTGACCGAGGCGTGATATGCCAAGTAAGTAGAAATGTGGCGTGTGTGTAAGGCTGTGAGGATAATAACTTGTCCTGTAAAGTTGTAGTTATGGTGGCGTCAGCATTAGCTTCCCCGGCGCCAAGCTTCCACCACCGCTCCCCGGTACTCTCTACTGCTTCTCTACAGTTAATTCCAGACAAGGAACCTCTCCATAGTAAAATTGCGTGTTATACTCATTGTTGTAGCTTAAATTCATTAAAAAAAAATACGTCCACCAGTTCTCTATTTGTAACTCGAGTTTTGTCCTCGTGTGATGGTGATAATTGTCTTGGAGGTGCTGCTGTTGACTCGACTCATTTAATTGTGATTGCCGGGATCGGGTCTTTTGCCAATCCTTATTGTAATGCGAGTTTGGTTGATTTCTTAGGAACATGAGAAAGAAGGAGCACTGCAGCAGGCCTACTGGCCTATGCCAGGCAGGTCCAAGCCCCTTACTGGCCCAAGCCAAGTCACTTACTGGTCCAACTCACACTCACCCACACCCCACTCGTGTATTTCTCTAACTATTTTTAAAACAACACAACGTTTTAGCGTCAGTAATGTTACTTGCTTTTACCACAGTATTAATTTATGTTCATGTCTCGTGCTGAATAAAGTATGACAATTTTTGTATATAATAAGCCACAAGTAAATAAGTTTTATTGAGGTTCAGTTACACAATTTTTGGATTACAGTTGTCTTACATAGTAATATATGTGTAAAGTACATAGAATATCCCAAAGAAGTCAGCAGACAACTTATGTTCCAAATAGGGAAATCAGATCAAGCAAAAATGCTCCTGAATGGATGAAAAATAGATTAAAACATCTCATTGGTCAAAAGAGAGGCATATATAAGCAAATCAAAAGAGGAGAGGTGCAATTAAGAATTCAATATATTCAGTTAAAGAGAGAAATAAAAAAGGGAATAAGAAAAGCAGAGATTATGAGGTTAAAGTTGCAAGAGAATCGAAGACTAACCAAAAAGGATTCTTTCAGGTATACAGAAGTAAGATCAGGGACAAGATAGGCCCACTTAAAAGTTACTCGGGTCAGCTCGCGGACAGTGATAAGGAAGTGTGTCGAAGTTTTAACACATACTTCCCCTCGGTTTTTACACAGGAAGATACTAGCGATATTCCAGAAATAATAAATTATGTAGAACAGGATGATGATAAACTATGCACGGTAAGGGTCACAAGTGACATGGTCCTTAGGCAAACAGATAAATTAAAACCTAACAAATCCCCAAGCCCTGATGAACTGTATGCAAGGGTTCTAAAGGAATGTAAAGAGGAGCTTAGCAAACCTCTGGCTAATCTTTTCAACATATCACTACAGACTGGCATGGTGCCAGATAAGTGGAAAATGGAAAATGTGATAGCTATTTTCAAAGCAGGTGACAGGTCCTTAGCTTTGAACTATAGACCAATAAGCCTGACTGCCATATGTTGAGCAGTCACTAAAATGTCATTAGTATACCACTTCTTTAAGTTCAGGCTTTTATAAGCTTAACCACAGCCAAGGGCTAATGAAAGAAAAAATCCTTCAAGAGAGGTGCCCTGACGCAGGTGATGGGCTCTTGATCCAAGGAATTAGAGATGCCTGCCTTTCCTTGAATTGACTGATTGCCTTGCATTCCCCAAAGCTTTGTATGTGATTGTGCACACACACCGGGTCAAATACATCAAGAAATTAGAGAAAATGCAAAGGTTTGCAACAAGACTAGTCTTGGAGATGAGGGGTATGTCCTATGAGGAGAGGTTAAGGGAACTTGACCTGATGACACTGGGGAAGAGGAAGGACATGATAAAGACATAAAATACTGAGAGGAGTTGACAAAGTGGATAGAGGCAGGATGTTTAAGAGATGGGATACAGCAGCAAGGGGTCACAACTGGAAGTTGAAAACTCGTATGAGTCACAGGGATGTTAGGAAGTATTTCTTAGTCATAGAGTTGTCAGGAAGTGGAACAATATAAAGAGTGATGTAGTGGAGGCAGGATCATACATAGCTTTAAGAAGAGGTATGATAAAGCTCATGGAGCAGGGAAAGAGTGGACCTAGGTCCACTAAGACCAGCGAAGAGGCTGGGCCAGGAGTTATGCAACCACAAATAGGTGAATGCACACGCACACACATGTACATGCATGCATGTGTATACACACATGCACGTACATGCATGCATGTGTATACACACATGCACGTACATGCATGCACACAGCGTGTGGTGCCCCACACACACACACACCTCTTACACTCACTCACCTCCCCCCAACTCTCACTCTCTCACCTCCACTCCTCACTCTCACACTCACAACCTACACTCACACCTCTCACACTCAAACACTCTCACACCACACTCTCAACCCTCGTCACTCGCGTCACTCGGGTCACACGCTCACTCTCACACCTCAAAACTTCACAACACCTCTCAATCTCGCACTCTCCCACTCTAAATCTCTCCCTCGGTTCTCCTCTCCTCTCTCTCTCTCTTTTCCCCCCCCCCTTTTTTTTAACCCAAAATTTGAATCCCCCAAAATTTAAAAGGGGAAAGGGGCCCCCCCCCCCCCCAAAAAAAAAAAAAAAAAAAAAAAAACCCCCAAAAAAAATTTTTCCCAATAAAAAAAACCCCCCCCCCCCCCCCCCCCCCCCCCCCTTTTTTTTTTTAAAAAAACCCCCTTTTCCCCCCCCCAAAAAAAACCCCCAACCCCCCCCCAAAAAAAAAAAAAAAAAATACCCCAAAAAAAAAAGGGGGGGGGGGGGGCCTCCCCCTTTTTTCCCCCCCCCCCCTCACCCTTTCCCCCCCTCTCCTTTTCCTTTTTTTTCCCCTTTTTCTTTTTTTTTTTTTTTTTAAACCCTTTTTTTTCCCCCCTTTTTCCCTTTCCCTTTTTTTTTTTTTTCCCTTTTTTCCCCTTTTTCCCCCCCCCCCCCCCCCCCCCCCCCCCCCCCCCCCCCCTTTTTTTTTTTCCCCAAAAAAAAAAACCCCCCCTTCTCGCCACACTCACACACTCTCTCACTCCACTCTCTCACTCTCACTCGTCTCCCTCTCACCTCATGCTCACTCTCACACACTCCACTCTCTCACTCTCTCACACTCTCTCACTCTCTCACTCGCTCACTCTCACACTCTCACACTCTCTCACTTTTTCACACTTACACACTCTCACTCTCCACTCTCTCACTCTCACTCTCTACCCCTCTCCCCTCTCTCTCTCTCTTCTCTTCTCTCTCTCTCTCTCATCTCTCTCTCTCTCTCTCTCTCTCTCTCTCTCTCTCTCTCTCTCTCTCTCTCTCTCTTTGCTCACTCTCACACTCACACTCACTCTCACTCACTCTCTCACACTCTCACTCTCACACTCTCAACACTCTCACTCCTCTCATCTCTCACTCTCTCACTCTCTCACTCTCACTCTCTCACTCTCTCACTCTCACTCTCTCACTCTCTCACTCTCTCACTCTCTCACCTCTACTCTCTCTCTTCCCTCTCTCTCTCTCTCTCTCTCTCTCTCTCTCTCTCTCTCTCTCTCCTCTCTCTTCTCTCTCTCTCTCTCTCCTTCTCTCTCTCTCTCTTTTTACACAGGTTTACAGTTAGGATCCCTAGCTTTATTGACAAGCTATTTACAGGTTAAGGATCCCTAGCTTTATTGACAAGCTATTTACAGGTTAAGGATCCCTACCTTTATTGACAAGCTAAGAGCTGTTACCTACATCAGCTCATTTGAAAGCATTTTTATTGTTATGAGACATACAAGTAGGGAACAGGATGAAATTGGAGCCATCTGTGGGCCAGCATTTTCATTTGATCAATTGACTTTATCTCGTTGACATCATTATGCTGTACGAATGTGTTCCATATTCGAGTCATCCTGGGTATGTATGATCTCAGATGGAGTGATGTTCTGGAGAAGGGTACAGCCAGAGTGAAGTTGCTGCTTTCTGCCCATCTTGAGGCATATAAGCTTGTTTCACGCTGTCCTCGAAGTGGATCCAAGTGTGGTATTTTGACAATATTGGCCTTGTACATAACAGTAAGGCCACCCACATCCCTCCTATGTTGAAGGCTCTGCTGAAATGACAGATCTATCCAGGATGGGTCCAGGCGAGAGATGAGACGTCTTGCTCTGTTCTCTACTCTGTCAAGCAGTCGCAGATGAGAGGGGGGCAGGCAAACCAAGGAAAGTGGAGCATACTCAAGGTGCGAGCGTTACTTGTGCCTCGTACAGGATCTTGCAACCCCTACTGTCAAGCAGATGGGAGATACGGCGAAGTGCTGTAAGCTTCCTGGCTGCCTTGTTTGCAAGATTTACAACATGGTTCTTCATGGTTAGTTTTGGAGTCAAATTTCACCCCCAAAGGGTATCAACTTCTTCTCCAGGGGCCAACGTCCTCCCATTCATCCTTACTACTGCACCAGCATTACCATCATGGTGCCTAGAGACGATCATCATTTGCGTTTTCTCAGGTGCAAATGTTACTTGCCATCTATTTCCCCAAGCTGATATAGGTTCTCAGCGGGTGAGTGATGTAGCTTAGGCAAGCTAGGCATTTCTTCTCTTGATAAGTGAATGTCGGTGTACAGGTTCTTCTGCATATGCAGGTGATTCTGGGTGAGATGAGAAGTCGGTGAAAGTAGACATTCCATAACAATGGACCCAGCACGGCTTCCTTGTGGAACACTTGCCCCCATAGGATGTCTTGCTGATTCCGTTCCATTGAGAAACTACACTTAGAGATCGTATGATGAATGGTAGTCACTGAGGAGACATAACGTAGAGCCTGCAATTCCACAGTGCTTGAAGTTTTGTAAGGAGGCCCTTGTGGCCCACCCGGTGAAAGCGCCAGCAGTGTCCTGTGCTACCACACAGCTGACTTTGGGATTGTCCATCCAGTGACTGGTTGCAGTAAGTGGAGAGGTTGTAACAACAGATCGCAGTGAGTAACCTTTCCTGAAAGCCATATTGACGATCACAAAGTAGTGAGTGAGTGGTAAGTCAAAAAACTC